AATTTTGGTTCTTTCTTCTTTTTGGATGTGTGCATTTATTGCAATAAATTGTCCCAAAGATTTTGGTATGTTGTGTTTTCATTCTCATTTATTTCTAGGAACTTTGTGAATTCATGTTTAATTTCTTCTACTACCCAGTCGCATTTCAGCAGGGTGTTATTCAGTTTCAATGAATTTTACTTGATTTCCTTGGTCTTCCTATTGTTGATTTCTAATTTATTCACATTGTGATGTGAGAAGATGCTTTATAGTATTTTGATATTTGTAAATGTATGGAGATTTGTTTTGTGGCCTAAGACTTGGTCTATTCTGGCAAATGTTCCATGCACACTGGAAAAGAATGTATACTGTGCAGTTGTTGGGTTGAATGTTCTGTACACATCTATGAGGTCCAGTTGACTGATTGTGTTCTTTAATTCTTCTGTGTCTTTGTCAAGTTTCTTTCTCCTTGTTCTATCCATTTTTGAAAGTGATGTATTAAAATCACCCACTATTATTGTAGATTCATCTATTTCTTTCTTTAAATCTATTAGAGTTTGCTTTGTATATTTTGGAACTCTTTCATCGGGAGCATAGATATTTATTATGGTTACGTTATCTTGTTCAATTGTCCCTTTAATCATGAGATAATGTCCATCTTTATCTATTATGCTGGTTTTTACCTTAAAGTGTATTCTATCAGAGATTGGTACTGCCACTCCTGTTCGTTTTTTATTGCAATTAGCTTGGTATATTTTTTCCATCCTTTGACTTTTAATTTGTTTTTGTCTCTGTGTATGCGATGTGTCTCTTGCAGACTGCATATTGAAGGATCTTGTTTTCTTATCCATTCTGCCACCCACCATATCTTAACTGGTGCGTTTAATCCAATTACATTCAGTTCAATTATCGGTAGGTATGGATTAATTGCTGCCATTATGTTTTTGTTGTTGTTGTTTGTTTTTATGTGGTGTTGCTCCTTTCTTTATTCTGTGTGTCTTCCTTTGCTGAGTGCATGCTTTTTGTGTTCTTTCTTGTGAGTTTCCTCATAGTCTTAATGTTTCAATGTCCTTTTGTTTTCATTTTCTTGTTATGTTGTGAAGTGTTAATTTTCTTTGAGGTTACCTTATAGTCCATTAACTTTCCCCTCCTTTTAGTGCAGTCGATTTTATCCTATAATCTACCTGACCTTCTCACCATCTGGTTCTCTGTTCCTACGTGTGTTTACCTTCTTTCACATTGTAATTGTTTTGATAATGGATTGATCACCCAGATTCTCTCAGTTTGTTCTCATAGTTTTTTTTTTTTTTTTTTTTTTTCTGTTCTCAACTTTTCCTTCTGTCGATTTAGTTCTGGGAGTTGCTGCCACGTATGTCAATCGCTGGTTGTTGTCTGTTCTTGTTAGTTCTCAGTCCACAGAATTCCTTTTAGGATGTTTTGTAACACAGGGTTGTCTTTGGCAAAATCCCTTAACTTCTGTTTATCCTGGAATGTTTTGATTACACCATCATATTTGATTGATAGCTTTACTAGATAAAGGATTCTTGGTTGGTAGTTTTTTTTTCTTTCAGGGTTTGATATATGTCTCCCCATTGCTTGCATGGTTTCTGCTGAGAGATCTGAGCTTAATTCGACTTGCTTGCCTTTGTATGTGACACCTCTGTTTTCCCTGGTTGCCTTCAGGAGTGTCTCCTTATCTTTGATTTTGGAGAGCTTGATTATGAAATGTCTCAGTGATTTTCTTTTGGGGTCTATCCTTCTTGGGCTTTGTTGAGTTTCTTGATTGTTTATCTTTTCACTTTTAAGGATGTTAGAGAAATTGTCTTCCAGCCATGCAGCACTTTTGCACAGCATTGCAGCAGCAAGCAGGCACACCTGCTTCATTTGGGAGTGGAATGTCATTTGGGGTTAGATTGAAAAAGCTGGTTGCTTAGATGATCTAATAAAATTTTCTCTGGCACCAATGTATGGCCTCTTTTTCAGCACTGCAGCTTAAACAAGACTTGTGAACTCCATATCTATGTTTAATTGTGGTCATGGGTAAAATTGTGAAAGTATAATATTGATCTTGGCTTGCACAGTTCCTTTGGCAATTGAATTTCTTCATACCTTTTGAGTTGGAATTCTCTCTCTGGGAGCACTGTTTGTTTGTTTTTCTGGATATTAGCAAACTCGAGAGATATTCCACTTACCTACAACCAAATCTCAGGTATCTCTAGTAAGATGAAAACTAGACTTTAGGCATCAACATGGAAAGTTTTCAGGTATGTGGTGAAAACCCCTTCCTCTTAGAGTTTTCAAGTTTTAATAGGGAATTCTCTAAACACCAAAGGCTTAAAGACTCCAAGGGCTGAAATTATAAAATGCAATAAATGGAAAGTAGAGTTTTTGAGAGACAGGTGACTGCCATTTTAACTTTATGCTAACAAAGACTTACAATGTACTGATGAATACATTTTATTAAGTAAATTTAAAAACAGTACATTTAGCAAAGGTACTAGTTATTTCTGTATATTGCTTACTACATTTTTCTTCCAACATTTTACATAAAAGAATATCAAAAGCTTTCTTAAGAACTGTGTTAGTAGTCTGCTTCTTCAGACATAGAATCCCTTTTGGGGCAATATGTAACATTCAAATCTCTACCAGCAATACACTTCTATGAAATACTTAAGACATTTGGAAATGGTAACGTTATACACCCCACAGCTCTGGGTGGAAAACCATATACAAAACTGTAACATTACTAGTCAAGCACATTATAGCTAGTAGCCCTTTACTGTAAAATAGTGTGTTGCTTGTGGAAATCAAGAAAGAGTTTTAAAAAAGATTTGCTGATCAAAGGAAAGGGGTCAAAAGCTAAATTGAGCAAGAAAGCCCTAAGTTAGGCAATTGTTGTTGTTAAGTGCTGTCAAGTCAGTCTGACTCCTAGTGACCCTATAAAGGGTTTCTGAGGAACAACTGTTGGATTTGAGCTGCCGACCTTGTAGTTCACAGTCCAGTGCTGATCCAGTGCCACACCGGAAGTCCAAATTAGGAATAGGACAGCCCTAATTCTCTTTGCCTCTATCTGTAGCAAGAAATCAACACAAGTAAGCCTAGTTAGGAAGCCTATGTGGAAATTCCTGTTGTGATACAAAATAAGTTACAGGCTCATTCCACCTATGATGTTATTCAGATAGGCAGCTCTCTGGTGCATTTTAAATATAATTCAGTAGCAGGGTAAACACATCTTCCAATGATGACTTCTTTGTCTAAAATTGACTAAGAACCCCTCTGTGGGATCTATCTTCAGAATTCAGAGCACACTCATGTGAATATCATTTTACAGGCAAATCTTAATCTTTTGAGAATAGATTTGGGGGGTTGGGTAGTAAGAGACAGACAAAAAATCATGTGACACTTCCTATACTACTTGGTACTAATAGCTGCTCTGTGAATGTTGATTACATATGATTATCAATGAAGTCATATCATTTTAACTCGGCGATTTCCTTGTTGTGTTGTTGTTTAGGGCCATTGAGGCAGTTCTGACTCACAGCAACCCTATAGAGGGTTTCCAAGGGCCGGCTGGTGGGTTTGAATCACCAACCTTGTAGTTAGAAGTCTAGTGTTTATCCTATAGCACCACACCAGGACTTCCTTGAGTGTGTCAAATGGAATACCCTTACCTGCTGAGTTACTTTGTATAAAATTATACTTAGAAGACCTTTAACATGGCATGTGTCTAAAGCTGAAGTTTATGAGGGTAACTTACAAAGAAAGTGAAGATGATCTGCTCCACATGGGCAGGTAAGCTGGCCTCAGCCAGTTCTGCAGGCTCGGGTCAGTAAGGATCTCTTACAGTATAAGAAATGCGGTGACAGAGAGTCTGTCTGAAACTGGAGCCCTCATTCATTGCTGGTGGGAATTCAAAATGATACAACTGCTAGGGAAAACAGTTCCTCACGAAATTGAATATAGAACTACCATTGTCACTCTTGTTAAGTGTCCTGGAGTCAGTTCTGACCCACTGTGACCCTATGTAATGTTTCTCTGTAGGAGCAGAAAGTATCAACTTTTTTTCCACAGAGCATATGGTGGGCTCACACCACGGGCCTGTGGTTATCATATGAAGCCACCACAATCGAGAAATCCCAATCCTAGGTATATACCCCAAAGACTTGAATGACAAAAACAGAAACTTGCTCACCAATAGTCATTGTAGCACTATTTACAACTGTTAAAAGGTGGAAACAGCCTAAATGTCCACCCGCAGGTGAGTGGAAAAACAAAATGTGGTTTACAAGTATACAGATAGTGGAATTTTAGCCATAAAGAGAAACAAAATTCGAATACATGTTACAACATGGCTGAATCTTGGAAACATGCTGCATGAAATGTCAAATGGGCACATATTGTATGGTTCCATTATATGAATAGACAAACATATAGAGACCAAAGAGTATTAGTGGTACCGGAGGTAGGAAGGAGGAGGAAAGACGTGTTTACTTGGGGACACTGGTGGTGGAATAACTGGGAAACAGAGAGTAGTAATGGTGGTACAACAGGATGAACATTACCCAATATCACTCAACTGTAATGGTGAAATGTCAGAGAGGTGGTGATAGATATTTCCCAAACAGATAAACATACAAGATACTGGAAAATGTTTTCTTACATATGTTTTCCCACAATAAAACAATTGTTTTTCGTAAAGAATCAATCTAATAAACCCAAGCGGCCTTATGAGACAGTTCTATTTCCAAACTTCTAAGTGATTAAAAGACAAGATTGAATTACAGATGTGTCCTTCTGTAAAGATGGAACCAAATCTTGGTGGACATTTTGAATGATGTTGTTACCTAAAATCAATAACAAATAATACTTTATTTAGACTGTATTCATGAACGTTGACCCACTGGAACAAAGTGTTACTTCTCAATCTAGGTAATGCAAATATTGTGGTACCGAGGGCCGGGCAACTGTTCAATTCTTGTCCCAACCCCATCATAATCATTGTCCTTCTGCTCTCAAAAGTTATAAAGAATGATGTACTAAAGACTTCAGCGGTTTCTGAAAGCCAATAGAAAAATAAGAACATAGCCGTCAAAACACTTTGCAAATGACTTACTTGATCGGGACCTTTGTTTCCAAGCTACACCATAAGGAAATTTGCCTTTCGGTGTTTATAAAGGTGACAAAGGTGCTGAGAGTATTAGTCACGGTGACTTGGGAAGACTGTGTTGTGGTTATATTCGTCTGAGGTCCTGAGTCATCCAACATTATTAACCAACCTGTAGCATGACTAGCAAATGTAACCAGAATATATATCTTTTTTCAATGTAGCATGTAGATCCCTCAACTCTACTATTTCTCAGATCATAACAAAACCAGCCCAGTTGTGGAGCTGGTTTATTCCTGTATTTACTTAGTTTCAAAGAGTAGGAATCCAGCAAAGGTGGAGAAGCGCTGGTGGTCACCGTGAAGAGCACCATTGCCCATTCTCAGCCAAACTTCATCCCCTTTGGCCAGCTTCAGCACTGCATGATTGCTGGATGTATCTGATTTCCCCTTGGTTTCATAGCTGGAAAGAGATAAAAGACAGCACCACTGTCTTAGTCTTTGCAGTGGACAATCTGCTTCTCACCAAAACCTGCCCTCCCTTTCTCTCCTAGGCTCTCCTGCATTTACATACAGTCTGTAATAAGTTATCTAAGTGGAAGATGAGTAGAAATGATATTTGCTGTTTCTAGGCCCTAGTGGCACAGCAGCTAAACACTTGGCTGGTACCTGAAAGGTTGGTGGTTCAAACCCACCTCTTGTTCCATGAGACAACGATGAGGTCATCTGCTTCCATAAAGATTACAGCCTTGGAAATCATATTGTTGTTGTTGTGAAATGCCATCAAGTCAGTTCTGACTCATAGCGACCCTATATGGGTTTCTAGAGAAAGCCCTGTATAGGGTTTAGAGATCATATAAAACCTTGGAAATCCTCCTCTGTCCTATGGCGTCACTGTGAGTCAGAATCAACTTGACAGCACTGTGTTTGGTTTTTGATTTACTTCTATGCCTGACCAACAAAACACTCAGAAATACCCCTTTATTTTCCTCTCCCATCATGACTTTCCAGAATGGAAATGACAATGACCAGAATGACCCAGGAAAAGCCATCTGCTGACACTTGAGTTCTAAGGGTCTGGGTAGAGGAAAGCTCACCACTGGACCAATAAACAACATTCTTATCAATGGAGAAAATACTGACATTTTCAAGGACTTCATTCTTCTTGGATCAACTATCAACACTCACAGAAGCAGCAGTCAAGAGATCAGATGACGTATTGTAGTAGGCAAATCTGCTGCACAAGACCTTTTTAAAGTGTTGAAGAGCAAAGATGTCAGCTTGAGGACTAAGGTGCGCCTGACCCAAGCCATGGTATTTTCAATAACCTTATATGGATGTGAAAGCTGGACAGTGAATAAGGAAGACCGTAGAAGAATTGATGCCTTTGAATTATGGTGTTGGCGGAGAATACTAAAAGTGCCATAGGCTGTCAAAAGAAACAATAGATCTTTTTTATTACTCCTCTTCATGTTGTCCAACATGAATCTTTGGCCTACTTCAGATTTTTTAATGCTTTTTTGAGTTATGGAGTTGGAGGAGATTATTGAAGGTGCCATGGGCTGACAAAAGAACAAAACAGATCTGCGTTGGAGGAAGTGCAGCCAGAGTGCTCCTCAGAGGCCAGGATGCCCAGATTTCATCTCTCATACTTTGGACATTTTGTCAAGAGGGACCAGTCACTGGAGAAGGATATCATGGTTTAAAATTAAGAAAGGTGTCCGACAAGGTTGTATTCTTTCAACATATTTATTCAACCTGTATACTGAGCAAATAATCCAAAAAGCTGGGTTCTATGAAGTAAAATGTGGCATCAGGATTGGAGGAAGACTCATTGCTGAAAGTGAAGAGGACTTAAAACATTTACTGATGAAGATCAAAGAGTCACTGTACCAAAAAGAAATGGTCAATGTTCAACCATTTCAAGAGGTAGCATACGATCAAGAACCAACGGTACTGAAAGAAGAAATCCAAGCAGCATGGAAGGTATTGGCAAAAAACAAGACATCAGGAATTGGCGGGGTATAAACAGAAATCTTTCAACAAACTGATGCAACACTGGAAGCACTCACTCATCTAGGCCAAAGAATTTGGGCGACAACTACCTGGTCAACTGATTGGAATTTGTGTCCATTCCAAAAAGAGGTGACCAACAGATTACAGAAATCATTGTACAATACTACATGTAATCAAAATTTTGCTTAAAATAATTCAAAAATGGTTACAACAGTACATAAACAGAAAACTGTCAAAAATTCAGACTCGATTTAAAAGAGGACGTAGAAATAGGAATAATGCTACTGACATCAGACGGATCTAAGCTGAAAGCAGAGACTGTCAGAAAAGTGTTTACTTGTACTTTATTGACTATGCAAACGTTTTCAACTGTGTGGGCCAAGACAAACTATTGGTAACATTATAAAGAAAGGATATACCAGAACACATAATTGTGCTCATGAAGAACCTGTATATAGAACAAGAGGAAGTTGTTCAAACAGAACTGGGGAATATTGAATAGTTTAAAGTGAGGAAAATTAAGCACCAGGGATGTATTCTTTCACCATACTTATTCAATTTGTATGCTGAGAAACTAACCCGAGAAGATAGTTTATATGAAGAAGAACATTACATCAGGATTGGAGGAAGATTCATTAACAACCTGTGATATATAAATGATACAACCTTGCTTTCTAGAACAGAAGAGGACTTAAAATACTTACTGGTGAACGTCAAAGACTATAGCCTTCAGTATGGACGTGCCGGCACCTCAATGTAAAGAGAACAGAGATCCTCACAACTGGACCAGTAAATAACATCGTGATGAATGTAGGAAATATTGAAGCTGTCAACGATTTCATTTTACTTGGATCCACTATCAACACTCATGGAAGCAACAGTCAAGAAAGCAAACTATGTATTGCATTAGGCAAATATACTGCACAAGACCTTTTTTAAGTGTTCAAATGTATAGATGTCCGTTTGAGGACTAAGGTGTGCCTGACCCAAGCCATGGTATTTGCAATTGCCTCATATGCATGTGAAAGTTGGACAATGAATTAAGACCATAGAATCAATGCATCTGAAATATGGGTTTGGAGAAGACTATTAAAAGTACCAAGGACTTCCAGAAAAACAAAGCAAATCTTTGTTGATGTGTAGCCAAAATGCCTCCTAGAAGCCAGGATGGCAAAACTTCATTTCCTATACTTCAAAGATGTTATCAGGAAGGACCAGTCCCTGGAGAAGGAAATCATGCTTGGTAAAGGACAGAGTCAGGTAAACACAGGAAGACTGCCAAGGAGATGGACTGACACAGTGGTAGCAGCAATGGACTGAAATGTAACAATTGTGAGGCTGGAGAAGACCAGGCAGTGTTCCATTCTGTTGCGCATAAGGTCATTATGAGTTGGAACCGACTTGACGGCATCTAACAATAACAATATTAGTTGAAACTGACTCAATGGCACGTAACAACAACAACAGCAACAGCACCCCATGATTGGAGAAGATTTAAATTGTTGCCTTTCTACTTAACTCTATTGTTTCTAAAGGCTACACTGTTATTATTATTGTGTACAATGGAGTCGGTTCCAACTCATTGTTGTGACCTTGTGCAGGGTTTTCGATGCTGTCAATCTCTATGGAAGCTGAAAGCCTCATGTGTCTCCTAAGAAGCTGTTGGTGAGTTTGAACTGCTAACCTTGCAGTTAGCAGTCCAGTGTGTACCGTACAGCACCATCATTAAACGGAAATGGAAAAGCAAAGAAACAGCAAGCTGAAAACTCTCTGTCAAGAACACAACACATGTCACTGACTGGAATAAACAGAGCAAAAGCAAAAAGCCTGCTAACGTTTTGAGGGACTAGTAGGAGTCTTGGTGTGGCGCTGTGGGTTAATGCGTCAGACTGCAAAGCTGTATGAACTGCAAGGTCGGTGGTTCAAGCTTACCAGCTGATCCTCAGAAACCCTATACAGGGTCGCTATGGGTCAGAAACGACTTGATGGCACTTAACAACAACAACAACAAGTATTACCCCAAATCTAAATTTAACCTAAATCTAACCTTAAAAACGGAGTGTTCGAGTAATTCTTTCATGATCTCAAAATTGTACCTGCAGAAAATGAACTGTAAACTATCCCTGAGGAAGACCTACTTTACCTTGTATGTGGCCATGAAGAAAAACAGGCCAAGAAGAGCCTCCCAGAAAACACAAGCAGTGGCCAAAGAGAAAAAGAGCCGTAAGACCAACTTGACAAAACCATCCAGTTGCTGTAGCTTTGATTCTGACGCACGATGACCCTACTGTGTCAGCTCTATAGGGTTTTCAATGCTTGCTTTTTTCAAAAGTAGATCAACAAGACTTTCTTTCAAGATGCCTTTGGGTAGACTTGAACTTCCAACCTTCTGACTAACAGCAGACTGTATTAACCATTTGTGCCATTCAGGGACTCTAACTTGACAGCAAAAACCTGTTCAGCTGCTGGAGACTTTGGTCTTTGAGTTGGATGTACTAAATGGGGAGAGGATTGTCTCCTATAGGGGCAGGATGGAAACACATGTATTCTAAGTATGGGAAGAAAAATTCACACTGGTGTTCATTAGACAAAGAGGCAGTGAAGGCTAGCTGTTTAGGAGAGCCCACTTTTCCCTCTTCTGTAGAGTTGGGGTGGAGGGAGCACGGTGGCTCCATATGATAAGTACTGAACTACAAGCCACAACAAGTGTGGTTCAAGCCCTTGGGAGACAGATGAGGCTTTCTGCTTCCGCAAAGATTTTAAAAGGCTTGAAAACCCTATGTAGGTTTGTTATGAGTCAGAACCAACTCAAAAGCACTTAACTATGACAATAGGGTTGGTGGCTCAAATCCACCAACCACTCCTTGGAAATCCAATACAGGGTTGCTATGAGTCAGAACTGGCTCAAGGGCACTTAAAATAGCAACAACATAGGAGTGTGTCTACGTTTCTTTGCCTCCCTTGATCTTGGGAGAAGGAGAGGAGAAGGGAGCAATGTGACTAAGTTCTCAGAATGAAATGTCTGGAACATGAAAGTTTCCACAGCTCGTGTTCTTTCCTCGATCTGATTCCAGCAATGACAATGACCAGAGAGAATTTAGAAGTCAGTTTTATGAATGGCAGAGCTGTTTTTATCAGGCTGAGCTCTCTGAGTACTAGATGTGGCAACTCCTCTTCCAACAGCCTCCAACTCCCTCCTCTATTCTCCCCTAGCCTGAAACTCTTGCCCTGGACTGGCCAGATAAAACCATACTCTGTTCGACTCACTATATCCGAGGCTCTTGATTACAAAAGTTTCACCTATCCTCTCATGCATTTTTTTAAACCTCTTTTGGCATATCAGATATGTACATATGTTCTCCCTGTCTACACAGGCCCCATCAAAAAAATATGGGAATCCTTCTAAGTCATCAAGCTTAACAGGGAACAAATAGCAGCCGCATTTTCTGTCGATAACTCACCATCCGCTTACTTATGGAAAAGTTTTGTCTTCGGGCACATCCTAAACTTACATCAAAAGAAATTCCAACATTTCATTTGAGAGAGCTTTCCATGCCACCCGCCCTATGGTAACCCTAGGACCAGGACACTAGGATAAGCAGCAGCAGCAGCTACACAAGCAAAACAAACCAGTTGCCATTGAATCATCCTTAACTCATGGCAACCCTTCATGTGTCAAAGAAAAACTATAGGGTTGTCAGCTGATTTTTTTGTAAGCAGTTTGCCAGGCTTTTCTTCTGAGGTACCTCTAAGTAAACTTACCTTTAGATTAGCAGAAGAGCACATTAACCATTTGCACCTCCAGGGACTCCACACAACCTAAAGGTTGTTATCATTATTGTTGTGTGTAGTCAAGTCAATTCCAACTCACAGCCACTTATAGGACAGGGTAGAACTGCCCTGTAGGGTTTCCTAGGCTGTAAACTTTATAGGAACATATCATTAGGGGTTTTTCTCCCAGAGCTACTTGGTGGGTTCGAACTGCAGACCTTTACTTAGCATACCAATGCTTAACCCACAGCATCAGCAGGGCTCCTTCACAACCTAAGTAGGCGGACTTAAAACTATTTTTTGGAGTCCTGGTGTGGTGCTGTGGGATAACGCACTGGATGGCAAAGTCAGTTTGAACCACAAGGTTGATGGTTCAGACTCAACAGCAGCTCCTTGGAAACATCATGAGTCAGAACTGACTCGATGGCACTTAACAAGAAGAAGAAGAATATTTTTGGCTTTCTTAATCTGCCAGCCCAAAGCGCTCTGGAGAACACCCACAGATTTAAGTTTCAGGCAAAGGAAGGAGCGAAGAAAGGGTAGAGACAAAAGGAAAAAAAAAATGAGTTAACAAATGAATTCAAACAGCAGGTTTTGGGGAGTGTTGCTAGCAATCAGCTCAAGGCCTTCCATCCCCCCCCTGCTGATGCTGAAATGTATCTGATTTAGTTCTTCTCGAATATTAATTTTGATCTGGTTGTCTATCAGAGTGTGTGTGTGTGTGTGTGTGTGTGTGTGTGTGTGTGTGGTGGGGGTGTCCCACTGAGGGAATAGGCCATGCCAGACTGTATTGACCCCATAGACTTCTCTGACTTTGAGCAAACAATGGATGATTCCTCTGATGGGTGGACCACCCACCTGTACATGCTGAAGACCGTGTTGCCATTGTGCATCAGGTACACATACACCTCATCAACATCCTCATGCTTCATCATGCTGAAGGTGAAGAAGTACACACCTGAAACACAGGTATTTAGCCACATGGATATGAATTAACATATTCTCAGATGTCCTGAGAACCTATAGACAGCAAAGAAATAAACCAAATGACTTCCCCCTTCTTCCTCTGCTCATGCTTTACACGGTACATTGCTTCGTCCTGGCCTTCATCTGCACGAGTATCTCTTTACCTGTTCTTACCTTCAAACTTTGAATTGTGGTGTTCGAGGAGAATACTAAAAGTGCCATGGACTTCCAAAAGAACCAATAGATCTGTTTTGGAAGAAGTGCAGCCAGAGTGCTCCTTAGAGGCTAGGACGGTTAAACTTCGTCTCTCATACTTTGGACATATTGTCAGGAGAGAACAGTCACTGGAGAAGGATGTCATGCTGGGTAAGATGGAGGGTCAGAGAAAAAGAGGAAGACCCCCAACGAGATGGATAATCCAGGTGGCATCATTGATGGCGTCAAGTGTGGCAGCGGTAGTGAGGTTGGTCCAGATCGGACATTGTTTCATTCTGCTGTGCATGGGGTCGCTATGAGTCGGTTTCGACTTGATGGCACCTGACAACAACAACAACCTTCAAATGGCTTTCTATTTTGTTCACTTTCTGAATGTGCATACTGTGTACCCCCAACAAGGTTGTAAAGTCTTTAGGGGCAGAGATGTACATTGGCTGTGTTTCACTGGCTCTCCTTACTGCTCTCCCAAAGTGCCCAGGGCATAGTATACACTGTTATTGGGTCTAAGCTAATTATCACCAGCATCTACCGCAGGAGGCATGGTCAGATAGAAGCCTATGGTGGGGAGTGAGCACCTGGCCTTCCAAAACCATCACAAACAGGAACAAGTATAACCTTTCAGTGGAGGTGCACACTCATCGCACCAAGTGTATGCTGAAGAGAACGATGTGCTGGAGTGCCAAGTAGATGTTTGCTAGCCCTAAGGAAAGAGTTGCAGTAATTGCTCATGGTATTCCTTGTAAATGGCTGAAATTAAATGCAATAAACAGAAGACGGAACTTAGACTCTGCAGCATGACCCTGTTGCTGAAAGTTCAAATCCTCTTCATTTGAAAAAGATGAAATTTTCTTGGAAGAGCCTAGATCTCCTAACTGGAAGTACTTTAATATGACCTTGGTTGGTTGGTTATGTGCTGTGGAGTCGGTTCCGACTCATAGCGACCCTATACAGGATTTCCGAGGCTATAAATCTTTACAAGAGCAGAATGCCTCATCTTTCTCCCATGGAACAGCTGATAGCTTCGAACTGCTGACGTTGCGGTTCGCAGCCCAATTCATAACCACTACACTACCAGAGCTCCTTTTAATATGACCTGGCACAGTCTAAATGCCAGCATGGAAGAGTCTGTCAGTGAATAATTAAGAAGAATCCAAATCAGACAGATGAGCACAAAGGAAAAACTTGCCAACTCCAGGGTCTTGGATTTGGGAGTACATTTTGGAAAGGTAAATGCAAGTGTAAATATAAGTCAACAAGTTCTCATTGATTTCCATGTTACATTTATGCACTAAGGATCTTTTTACAAGAGAAAAATCCAGAAACACCTAAAAAAAATCACTAGAGACTTCTTTGCTCTTTTCCAAAGGCACAGTCAAGTAAGGTAGAAAGTGTAATGGTGCCACGTTGCTCCATCTGTTTCTGAGTCAAGTTGAAAAAAAAAAAAAAGAAAGGAAGCATAATTATGCTTCATTATGTTCTAGGCATAAACAATCTATGCATGAAGAATGGTGGAAGTTATATAAAAATCCATTGTGGCCTTTCACAAGTCTGGTGATGATTAACCCACAGCAGAAACGTCAAAGCAGATACAAGGTATAGGGCTCTGAGAAAAAGGCTCACATGTGTTCAGGTGTTTCATATTTTATAAAACTTCTACTCCCCTCTGGCTCTCCCCCACAGGTTAAAAGAAAAACAACAATGCTTAATGTTTCAGGAGGATAAAACAAATCCAAATGACAGGAAAAGAGATTAGTTTGTCAGAAAAATAGAAGAAAAATTATGAGTACTATTAGAAACAGACTGCAGAAACCATTTAGAGAGTACGTATTAAGACACCAGATGGAGAATAAATGAAATGCCAAAAGTTGGAAATACATAAGTGCATATGTATTCTATTCACACACAATTTCCTTTGCAAGAATAGGTACTGAAACTGGTTACCTTAATTGCAAAATCAGTCTCCTTGGTCTCAGCACTCACAAAATTGGAACTCATGAAATGGTCATTTGAAATATACTGGATGAGGTTTAAACAGTTTACTTTGAGAGCCCAAGGATATTCAATATTGTTGGAATAAGGCGCCCAAAAGAGTTCTATAACGTTAACTCAAATAGGTGTAACTATATCCTCTTAGGAATTATTTGTTCTGTCCAGTTATAGTTTATAAGCTTTATAACCATGGTCAGATTAAAAAATATATATATGTCTGTTTTTTCAGATTAAGATTCATGTACTTCCAAAGCCAGCAGAAATCTATATACAGGAGCTGCCTGTCTCACCCTGAGTCGGAAAGAATTTTTCACTTCCTTAGTGCCTTCCCTATGCTATTCCCGCTCTACCTCTTTTTTCTCTCCATCCCTCCCCTTTTATTCCCTTCTCTCTTCCTTTCTTCCCTCCATCCCGCCTCACTTCTCTTCTCTTTTTTGATCACAGATTGTTTAATTCCATCATTCATTTAATTTTACATCTCACCTGATACTGGGGCCCCAAATCTACCAGTCATGACATCAAAGAAGTTTCCAATGTTGGTCTCAACACTGCTGAAGATAATCCCACTGTTCTGATTGCTGAAGTGAGTTGCAAGAGATGCCATGAATGCAATCTAAGGAAAGAGTTGGTGGTTAATTAGTAGGCAATTAGCATGCTTTGACAAATGAATATTGAAAATTTACTTTGCATGAGATACCAAGCAAGTTTTTTTTTAAAAAAACAAACAACAGAAACAAAACAGTATGGATCCCAATTCAGAGTTGACAAACTTGGAAGGAAGGTTAAGAGTACATGGTTGATAGTCACTTAGTGTCCTACTTTGAAAGGTGTCCCATATATGAAAGCTCCATCCTTATTATTGTTGTTGTGAAGTGCTATTGCATCAATTCCAATGCACAGTGACCCTGTATAGGGTTTCAAAGAGTGACTGGTGGGTTTGAACCATGTGGTTCACAGTCCAGTGCTTACCCTACACCAGGACTCCTTATTATCCTTATTCATTGTTGTTGTTAAGTGCTGTTGAGTCTGTTCATACTTATAGCAAACATATCTTCTACTATATTTTTAATGTTCATTTAAAATAAATATGAAAACCTTTCTTATACTTAACAAAAACGAAAATAGTGACAGATGCTTCTTGTTGTTGTTATGTGCCGTCGAGTTGGTTCTGACTCATGGTGACCCTGTAAAGAGTTTCCAAGGAGCAGTTGGTGGGTTTGAACCTCTGACCTTTCAGTTAGCAGTCCAGTGCTTTTCCTCCAATGCCACATTACAAAATGTTTAAACTTTTTTGTAGCAAGAAAAAAAACTTCCTTAAACAAATTTTAAAAACAAGAAACATTTGCAGCATATATTAATGAAGGTTTAATACCCATGTTAGGTGCTGTTGAGTCGCTTCCAACTCATGGTAACCCATACACAACAGAACAAAACACTGCCCAGTCCGGCTCCATCTGCACTATTACTATGATTCAGCCCACTGTTGGTTCCACTATGTCAAACTATCTCATTAGGGGTTTTCCTCTTTTTCACTGGCCCTCCACTGTGACAAGCATGATATCCTTCTTCAGTGAGTGGTCCCTCCTAACTTCATGTCCAAAGTAGATGAGATGAAGTCTCATCATCCTTGCTTCTAAGGAGAATTCTGGTTCTACTTCCTCCAAGACAGATTTGTTTGTTCTTCTGGCAGTCCATGGTATATTCAGTATTCTTTGCCAACATCATAATTCCATCACTCATCTGTCAGTTTGTCACACTGTGGTGGATTGTGTGTTACTGTGATGCTGGAAACTATGCCACCAATATTTTAAATATCAGCATGGTCACCCATGGTGGACAGGTTTCAGTGGACCTTCCAGAAGAAGACAGACTAGGAAGAAGGAGAGGTGCATTACTTCTGAAAAGTTGGTCACTGAAAGCCTGATGAAGAGCAGTGAAACATAGTCTGATAGAGTGCCAGAAGCTGAACTTTTCAGCTTGGAAAATGACTGGGAAGAGCTGCTTCCTCAAAGTAGAGTTGAGAGGGGAATGGAAGAACAAAGCAGATGGGAGAACAATTAGGCATATTTGCATGGGCTAAGTGGGACAGAGGTAAATAACCGATGTATGCACAACCTTAGAACAACATGGCTCTGGGATACAGAGATTGAGACATGGTTGGAATGGGGGAAAAGGGGGAATAATGTTAAGATGCTTGGCTGTCTCTTGAATCTTGGTTTTCCTTGCATTATACAATAAAATAGACACTGGAGGGAGAGAGAAAGGAATTGCCAGAAACATCACCATAGAAAGCTTTTAAGTCCGTCTTCTGCCTATAACCGATTGGAATACCTAAAATGGGCTACAACGTGCCCAGTGAAGGAGGCTTCCTGCGGAGCATCTGCATTACATAAGACTATAGGTGGAAGCCTGAACCACATCCAGATCTTCAGAGACGGGAAATTGCCACTTAAAAGGACAAACAGGCCAGCCTGGAGCAGTGAGAAGAGCAGAAGATACTTCTGGAAAGAAAGACCACCAGGAAAAATACAAAACAATAGAGGCAGACTGACTATTACTATAAGAATAAGCAAGTTACTTGCCCAGGAGACATCAAGGCAAGTGGTCAGGTCCCCTCAGTGTAAACCCCCTTCCAAGACTAAGACTCAATGGGAATACACACTCTGATTGGTGACCACGCTCATCACCGATAAGGGGAAGTGAGGGAAAAACAGCAATGAAGCCACGAATTATGTCCTACAACGTTCAATAGACTCCTGTGGACCCGGGTGGAGACCCGGTTGGCCAGCAGTGTGGCAAGACCTGGGGACTCTTGGGCCTAGAGTCAGTGACATAGTCACAAAGGACTAGAGTGGAGAGTGAAGCATCCAGCTGATAAGAAATGAGGGCATATGCACAAGAACACCCACACTTACCCACTTGACCTGGCTTCAATGACTGGATGATCAGAGCTCAACCAGAAGAAGATAGAAGAGGGGGGAAAAAAAAGAGTAATCTGGTACAATTTTATGAACTTGACCTACACCTATTGATGCAGTAGCTCAAAAGAAGGAACAAATCTTTACAGCGAGGATCATTCCCACCCCCTCCACACACAGAGTAGACAGGGATAGGTAACTTGAACATTGGCTACCCAAAATGGGGGGGAGGGGTAGGTTACAAAGGCAAGAAGTGACTGGCTTACAAGCTTTCAAGAGGGAACCTAGATCCAGAGGGCTTGGAGGAAGGTAAAATCTCCACTGAGTAGTATCCAATCTGTCTAGGCAGGGCTGATGAAAGGAAATGAGGATAGGTCTCTTGTGATACAATAGTGAATAGTTGTTATCAGGACTGATTGTGAGGGTTGGAAATGTAAAGGTAGATTTTTGTAGCAAGGAGGGGAGTGGTTAACTTTGCAGTCTAGGAAAGGAAGTCCCTGGAACCATCAATGGAGAAGATCGAAGAGCAGGGCCCTACCCAGAGAAGCAGTGACGCCAGAGATGGAGGCAGAGACCATGACGTGGGGATATGGAGCAGCTGGAGACTTTAGATCCAGAAAGAGAGAGAGAGGGGCTGTATGCTGATGACCAGATACAGGCTTGTAGTGCATACCCTTTGGTTGGTTAATGATGCGTGGAGGGGATTGTAACCATGGCAATGAAACCATATATGATAGAATGAATGTAAAACTAATGTTCTCCTATGTAAACTATCACATAATTCACAATTCACAAAACATTTAAAAAGAAAAAAAAAAAAAGTAGAGTTGACTTTAATATCTGTAGTTTATATAAAACTATCCTTGTGTGGCACTGTAGAATAAGCACTGGACTGCTAACCAAAAGGTCAGAGGTTCAAACCTACCACTGTTCCTTGGAAACCCTACATAGTATTGTTATGAGAAGAAACCAACTCAATGGCACTTAACAACACCATAACTCAGTAAGGAAAACATAAATACTATGCGACAAACGGACAAAGAATATGGCAAGTATATCTAATAAACAATATTTTTTTCATTTGAAGCAATAAACCATTTTACACATCAGATATATATACCACAAAGGAGGGTGGTGACAGATTTTTGCTGTCCAGGAGCGGAAGTCCCTGGAACCATCAAGGGAGAATAGTGGAGTGAGAGACCCTATCCAGAGAAGCAGTGACTCCAGAGATGAAGGCAGAGAGGATTACATGGAGAGATGGAGCGGCTGGCTGGGGATTCTGGACTCAGGGAGGGAGAGGGGCTGTGTGCTGACAGCCAGGGGGCAGGCTTGCAGGGTGTACCCTGTGGTTGTTTGATGATGCATGAAGGGGATTGTAACCATTGCAATGAAATGAAATACGATAGGATGAATGTAAAGCTAATATATATATCACATATTTGCTTTTGTATTTCCAACTCTTGGAATTTCATGTAGTCATAATCTGATTTCTTCATTTGAATTTTCTAACGTGTTTCTTTAATCTGTTTTTTATATATGCTTCATTTTTTAGAAAAACTGATGTAGGATAAGCACTGGACTGCAAACCACAAGGTAAGCAGTTCAAACCCACCAGCCACTCCTTGGAAACCCTATACAGGGTTGTTATGTGCCATAACCAACCAGACAGCACTTAACAACAACAATATCACATTTTTCCAGTATGTACTTTTCTGTGTCTGGGGGTTTGTGGAGAAAAGTGCTATTCAGAAGTTTTGTAACGTATCAAAACCTGAACACATATAAATAACTTTCTCCCATTGGTATGAGTGCAAATTGTTAGGATCTGAAGGCAATTTAGCAATGCATCAACATTTTAAATGTCCATACTTTTTATCCTAAAGTACCCACAATTTTAGAGTTTTATCTCAAATAGATAATATTTTATATATGTATGTTTATTATAATATTATTTATAGCAGTTAGATTGGAAATAACTTAAGCACCAATCTATGGAGAAAAAAAATCAAATAAGTTTTGGTTAACTACTAACATTTTTTGCTACACAGCAATAAAAATGATAATCTATATTAATCCTTCTCAATATCTGTTTCAAGGAACATTGGACTTTAAAAATAGTTTTTTTTAATTATTAAAATTTCTGTAATCAAATAATATTGGAAAAAATTGCAACAAGTCCTCCTATTTATTTATTTATTTTTAATGTTTTATTGTGAATTATGTGATAGTTTACATGCGAGAACGTTAGTTTTACATTCATCCTATCATATATCATTTCATTGCCATGGTTACAATCCCTCCATGCATCATCAACCAACCACAGGGCATATACCCTGCAAGCCTGTTCCCCAGTCTTCAGCACACAGCCCCTCTCCCTCTCTCGCTGTGTTGAAAGTCCCCAACTGCTCCATCTCTCCACGTCATCATCTCTGCCTCCATCTCAGGCATCGCTGCTTCTCTGGGCAGGATCCCGCTCTCCGTTCTTCTCCCTTGATGGTCCCAGGGACCTCCGCTCTTAGACTGCAAAATTAACCACTCCCCTCCTTGCTACAAAAGTCTACCTTTACATTTCCAACCCTCACAAGCAATCAGCAAGTCCTCCTCTCGTAACCTCTTGTAATGAACATATTGAAAAATCTGCATAGCTGTCATTGAACTGTGTACCACAAAAGTGTGTGCCAACTTGGTAAGA